GGGGGGATGCTTGCCGATCGTGGGAAAGTGACACATCTGTGTTTGGAACTGTCGATCGTTAGAAAAGCTCCGTCGCTCAGACTAGGGATAGCCAAAATGACCTTTTTAGTCTAAGCTACGAGCTTATGCATGGACGACTTCACCATCAAGGGGTTGTCTCGGACAAAGCCGCGAACGATAACTTAGATTTTTCCTCTCTCAGTTATAACCGAGGGTTTGGCGCGCGTTCCCCCTCTTTTTTGTATGTAAATAAATAAGGAATAAAATAAAATAAAGTATTTTTCTATTTCAGGTAATGATTACTTGACTTAGGTAACATGTAGTTCCATCGCATCAGTCGCGTTGACGCGTTTCGACTTCCCATGTATCCCCTTTCGCATTTATATATATGTAGTCGCGCAATTGCTAAGGGTTTATGTTCCTTTTCTTTCCCCAGGTTACGCAGTCATTTTTCCCTTTTCTGGGTTTTGCTATTCTCTTCTTCTTCTTCTTTCCCGCATAGTGTCGTAGGCTCCATAGTTCAGAAATACTCTCAGGAATTGTTTGGTTCGATTCCTGCCACAGAGGCTTCGATCCTATCCGCGGTGGATGTAGAAGAGATTCAAGATCGTTGTGTTTTGGATCCTATGATTCTCCTGTGACCGGCCGCCAACCACAAACAAGCTTACGGCTGATTTCTCTCCTGACCTCGTCTTTATAAATATCACTTTAAGATGGGTCTTCGGATGTCGTTTTGTCAAGAGTTACAGTCAATCTTCAATCGTTATAGTATCATCCCTGCTCAGATCCTTCCCAAGTCGATCGTCGTCATAATGACTTATGCGCTCTTCCATAAGTGGATGAAAATCTCATGGTCGATAGAACTCCTCAATCAATTCTTTTCCTTCTGGATTAGTGTGATGGATATTCAATTTGTTGCCGACACTAAGATTCAATTGTTGGGGCTTGAGAACAAGGTGCAAGGACTGAAACATGAAGTTTTTGTTCGCCTAGTGTGCGGACAAATGGGGGATTTACACTTCTTCTACAGAGTGCGAGGTGAAGAAAGTGAAGACCATGCCAAGAAATGTCCGAGATTACAGAGCGCTGATTGAGGGCCAGTGCCTCTTTGTTTCAGTACTTTTACCCCAAAGTGATCAAAAGCATGATTCATCTGAATAGTGTCGATACCATGACCGAGGATTTGTGGAGATTGCCCAACAACAGGGAGGTTACTCGAGAGAAAGCTGCTGGAGAGAGGGTGAATTTGAAAAGACCTCTAAAGAGAGGCAGTCCTCCCTCAGTTGGCAGAGGCCGCGGTCGGTCCCACTCGATCAGGTCGGCCGAGGGGGATGAAAAAGTTTGGCATTACTTACCTTCTTGTTTATTTGTGTGCGAAATGCATTTTCGGTACATTTGTATAATTTGCTAGGTTCTTCGGAAGGGAACAAGGGGGCCTTTTCCCAATCGCCTAGCCTTCCTGAGTCTGGAGGCCCATCAGTGTGCCCGTCAGTTGGAGTTCTGGCGGCGACGGGGGAGGGCTCTTTCATACCTCTGCAGAAGCGAGGTGAGGCGAGTGGCTCCTCCCACCCTATCTCTGCTGAGACCGATCCTGAGGAGGGATGTGGGGTCGTAGATTGGATGGAAAGCAATACCATTCGGAGAGAAGGGAAGGCTCCTATTCCTGATGTCGACTTGCCCCCTCCCCCCGTGCAAGAGGAGGTGATTCTGCCTGAGTAGGCGTGCTCGCTAGATGAAGGAGCTGGAATTTGGACGAGCAATCACTACACTCTTATTAACAGGGAGATCGAGTGGTTCCCTACCAATCCTCTGAATGGAGACTACCCCTCGATTCTACTTGACATGTTCTAGTCACGCTTTCGAGAGGAACTTGAGATCGATGACAGAAAGTATGTTCCAAGCGGTTGATAGTTATCATGCCCTTTCCTAGCAAGCTTTGCATTTCTAGGTTCTTTTCCTAGACAAAGTGGAGGAGGACGCTGAGCGGTCTACCTCGCGA